AGCTTATTAATAAAGAAACCCGCCAATTTAAGAAATGAAAATTAATCAAGATGGGATTGGATCATATAGAACTTGTAGAAACTGCCCCGAAACGGAGCTTTCCCCAGAACACATCTTAACCTGTAACGACAATACTTGCAGCTCTACAAAGCTTGGGGGAGTTTCCTTTCCAGGGAGAGATATATAGGGAAAAGATTGTGGAACTGGCAAAAGAAGTGATTTCCATGCATGGATCCCTCAGACTTCTCGGTAAAAATAAATTTCCCTTGGCGAAAATTGGCGATTTTCGGCGGTACATGGATACCGAGTTTGTACAGTTCTTCGTCTTAGTAGTTTGGTTTTGCGTAGCGGCGATTTTTGCCGCAAAAAGCGTCGCTACACTAAGACAAAAGAACTAGTCAAAGAATTGCACAAACTCCGTATCTATGCACACATCGACCTATTTCACTTAAAAACATCAGAGAATTGCACAAATTTGGCATTGCGCACTCCCTTGACTTTGTCCATGTACACACAGATCTATTTTGACTGAAGTCAAAGGAGCCTCCAATTCTACAGTACAGCCAAACAAAAAATGCATATTCTCAATAAACTATATTTTAAATCAAACAAAATAACATAAAAAAGGAAATTCATCTTATGCATAAAAGCACTACACAAAGCAAATATCCACTTACTCTATTTAGAAATTTTCCGAGTCCTTCAATCTGTGGCACACAAAATTCCTTAACAGCATTCAAAAACTTTCTAAAATTATCTGAACTAGAATCCGTATATCGGCGTCGCCGCATAAATTCACAAAAATAGGAGTAAAAAATATCATCCATAGGGTCGGTATCTTCCGACTTTCAATTCCTACAAACAGGGCGCTTTTAATGGCTACTAAGCAAACTTTTATTTACACACCAGTCAATTAATGCATTTTTACCCTTTCTTTCCAAATCGTACAGAAATTCAAATTACTCTTACAACATTCAGCCATTCTTCCATCTAAACCACAAAACAAACAATTTACTTCCTAACCAACACACACCACAAGCCCTTACAAATCTTTTTCCAGTCTTTCAAAATTTACGGCAACACGCAATCGATTACGTCATAATAAGGTTTCCATAACATCAACTACTCAGGTTACGATAAATAAAACAACTTGGCGATAAATGAAACAACAGCTTGGCGATAATACAAGGGGCACCGTTCAATTTACTCTAACTTCTCAAAGGACTTCTCAAAGGACACGACCAACCAACCCAAAAGAAAGTAATGGTTGATTATATTTTAATTTTATTTAAAAATACCATTACTGACATGGAAACCTAAAGCATTTCCGGAAGTCACCTGGAAACTTTGAGGATTGATCAAGCATGTGAACAAAACATGCGTACAGCGTGGCATTTCACAGATATCTTCAACCCCTAGAACAGCGCGGACAAAGAGGTACGAGCGGCGCGCCCGCAATATTTGCACCATAGACTGACAAGCGAAATGTATCTGAGATTCGAGGCAGTGTCAAAAGGCATCACTTTCTCATCATAAAACGGTATATGTCATATGCCTGCATCATTTCACAGTACTGTTATTCCGTTAGAAGAACGCAGGACTGACAGCAAATTGATGTAACATTAAGAGTCGGTAAAGACTCGCTAGATACGTAGGTAAGACTTTTATGACACGAAATGTACAAACTTTAAATAGCAACAGATGGTAAGTGTTTGTATTAATTCTGTAGTTGTGAAACAGCAGTACACACACAAGTATTTACTGCTATGCTATGATAGGTAAAGTTTGAAAGTAATATCCTTTAATTGACCTTCTTAGATATAATTACTATTCAAGCGCTGGAAAGGCTTCCATGACCCATCTCAACATGTTCTATGGAATCGCTTCAAAGGTTATACTTACAGTTAGTCACAAAAGTCTGCGTACAGACTAAATTTTAAATTAAAAAAACACTTAAAGCATAGAAAAATGTATTTTAATCACTGCATTTTTTTTTTCTTCTATTAGCTAAAATTGTAAGCTTAAATAAAAAGTAAATAATATCAGTGTAATACTTTTTTTTTGACAAAATATATTTTTGAAAAAATGTAAAAACTCAGAAATTCCCTCCAATAAGTCTGCGTACACTTTAAAAAAAATCAAAATATAAGTTTTTTACATTACTTCAATACTTTGTAGGATATCCTTTATTCTTCAAAACAGCTTGCAGACGTTTGGGCATTGACTAAACTAGTTTTTCAGTGTCATCCGACGTAAATTTCGCCCATTCTTCCTGCAATTTACTAATTAGCTTATTTTGCGACGTAACATTGTGTTTTCGAATTCGTTTCTCCAATTTTGCCCACAAATGTTCTATTGGATTGAGGTCTGGTGACTGTGGAGGAGTACGCAATTGTCTTGGAGTGTAATAGAGGAGATATTCCTTCACAATTTTAGCTGTATGTTTCGGGTCGTTGTCTTGTTGGAAAATAAAGGTATTAGAAAGGTTTAAATTTCGGGCACTGTCTCGTAGATTTTTCTTCAGAATATCCAGATAAACATACTTATCCATGACTTTATCAATAATGTGAAAATTTCCAACTCCTTTCGACGACATACACACACTCCCATACCATCACACCGTCAACTCCATGTTTGACAGTTGGATTTAAATTTCTCAGATTCACTTCTGTTCCTGGTTTTCTCCATACAATAGGGTGGCCATTAACTTTACATATTGTTAATTTACTTTCATCTGACCAAATTACATTGTTCCAGAATTCCTGCGAAGAGTTTAAATACATTTTGGCAAAAGCAATTCTTTTCTTTCTATTTGTCTCGGAAATGTATGGCTTAGATCTAGGTTTGCGTCCATGATAATCGGACTTTCGCAACACTTTTCGTACAGTTTCAGGAGAAATTTCCTTGTTGCTAGTTAAAAAAATGTCTTTTGCAATGCTTGCAGCAGAAAGTTTAGGATTTTGTTTAATTCGTAAAAGAAATTTTCTTTCTTCTCTGTGCGTTAGCTTCTTCGGTCTCCCCCATCTTGACTACCAGTGTCAAGACAGTTTTGAATAACTCTTTGCACACTAGAAAATAGTTTTCCAATGGTTTAACAATATAACGAAGAGTTTTATCTTCATCTCTCAATTTGATAATTAGTTGTCTCGTAACTAAAGGAATTTCTTTATTGGTTGTCATTTTCGTCAAAGAAAATAGAAATAGCAACTTCCAATCAACGTGAAATTTGCTTCGGAAGTCAATGACCTTGAAAGAGTAACCTTCTTTGCATTCTCAAGTTTGAAGTTTAAAAGTTAGATAAGAAATCCCCCGCCTCCTTCGCGTTGTACGCAAACTTTATTGGTTTTGATTTCTGGCCACTTATCTTTTAAAAATTAGTGTGCATAAATTATTAGATATGAAAATATTACAGTTAAATAATTCCAAAGTCCCTTATTGAAACTAAATATTTAAAAAATAAAACTTTAAGAACTCCTGCAGTATTTGCAGCACCTTAAAATTTGGATTTGATATTACTTTTCTTGATGTACGCAGACTTTATTAACTAACTGTATATCTGCGTTTGCAGTTGCGTTGGAACCCAATCGTATCCTCTGTCTTGCCCTCACATCTACCAATACCGACTACCAATATTTCGTTATTTAACCATTTATTTTGCTATGCTTCTTTATTTAACGTTCGTTTGTTGTTGGATTGGCCTGCCCCCTCATAGCTATATGGCAGGCATCGCCTGCAAGGTGGATTTGGGGCCAGTGCTTAGAACTAACTCGAAATACTCAATGAACGTCTATAACAGAGTTTATTCCAATCAAGGTTTCCACTGCCTCAATCCGTACCGTAACTATCATGGGCAATGGTCTACAGGATACTAAGTGCCTGACTTCTAGCTTTCCATGGATGCAGGTATATGCGCATTCTGGCAGGACTGTCAACTTATACGAAGTAGATATAACATGCGCTATTCTAAATATATCACCTACAGTAAAGTTTGTGTCCAGAATAGAAGGGGCATTTCAGATCGTGATAGAAATGTGTTCTATTTAAAATTCTGATAAATGCATCTTGGATCCGCTTCTTTGATAGCATCGAATTGCATGTTACGCAGCTTCATAATTTCGTGTGCAGGTGAAATAGTGCCACTTTATGCTCCATTGCATCATCTGTCAAGAGTTCAGACAATATCGCGCTTTGTCGTCTTGTATTTTCGAGCAACTGCTGCTAAAGAGTTTTTGGTTCTATAATGGAGTAAATTACACCTGTACAAAGCACTTGTTAATGTACTTTAGAACCATCTTGTATGCTGAATACTTCTGCGTCACTTCTCCCTACCAGTCTTTGTACTGCAACACGAGGTTTGCAAGTCGTTTGGCTAATCGTATAATGTATGTTTTTGCTTCAGAACACTACTTGTTAGCGATCTAACATGCTCGTGCTCTGTATCTCAACCCTCAAGCAATAATCATTGCTGTACTATTCTCTTGCAATAACAGCGCTTTAACATAGAACAACCTTTAACACATAAAAGCATTACGTTGTTTGACAGAGTTTGGCTGCAAATACTGCAGGACACTTTATTCTCACTCTTCTGTGAGTTGGGGCAACTACGAAATGCCATATTTATTCACATGTTTAAACCCTCCTAAAGGTTTAATGGTGACTGCCTTCGGCAAAACAGATAGCTTTCTTTGCGAAATAAAAGTATTGAAATAAAAACTATTTTTGATGCAAACATATTTTACTTACTAGCGTATTTTCACTTTTAAAAGAATGTGAAATTGCTACATCTTTAACAAGCTGTTTTCAATATTATAATATTTAATTGTACAAGTTTAAATAATACTTTATAAATTTTAAATAATAATTATACAAGACCAGTTTTTGGTGTAAAAATTATAGTGGAAAACAGCAGAAGTTAGGAAATTCTGAGAATTATCAATGCAAGGAGATTAACTTCATAAGATTATAAAGTGATAAAATGTTTCGAGGCAGTTACAAGTTACCTGGATTTTCACTGTATTGCAAAAATCCCTTTTCTGCGATTCTTTCTGCCCAGGTTTGAGCTGCGCTGCTCAGTTCTTCGGACATGATCAATGGAGGACATCCATGCATAGTCCTGTAGTTATTGTGAGCATTGAAAGTCGCTCGCTTGAACTCCTTCATTTCCATAGATCCTGTTAAACAAGAAAATTACAAAAACAAATTCAAAGAAGTATATATTTACATTTTTATGAATTAAAATATAGTTGAAAATATTGATTACTGGTTCAATTGAGTAAACCTTTTATTTAATTGATTATAGTATATTGACTTTATTCAGTTTATAATGATGAGATATAATATTTTCAAGTCCCATAGTAACACCGGCTCATTTACATCTTTTCCAGTAGCAAATGTACGTGATCTACAAGCATGGAATGGGAAGAGCAGCATTTTCGTATTTGCAGAGATGAGAGCATTTTATTATTCAAGTGCTAGTATAAGACGGCTGTTTATGCCATCATTAGATAATGAGAAAATGTTTCAGAGGTGACTTCTCAAAAAGGGAGGATAGCGCATTTGGAACTGAAAATTTAATACGTTCGTCAAAACCTGTTCTAGAAATAAGTTTATTGCTGCGAGTAACTCCCTGATCTGAACTTCGAAAATCTAGTTTTGATGAAACATTGATGCAGATTTGATAGAACCTACGGAAATACTAGCATTAGCTTGGTAATGGCAAAGTGCCAGTGGAACCAGTTGTGACAACTTTTCAAATATTTGTCAGCATAATATTGCCATTAAAGATTTTTTATCTTTTACAAATGAGGATGTCCTGAACAAAACTGCAATACCGTTGGCAAAAATGGCGAAATAGAATTTAAAAACGCGTAATTTGTCATTAAAATGTGTACAGCTAAAACAGAAACCTGCAGAACGTCTTTGCTTGAAGTTTAGAAATTCATTCGAGCCGTAAATATCTCCAAAACAAAATTTGATAGTTTCCAGATTTTAGCGGTTGCGCAAAATGATTTGTTAAGGTTTTTTACGATCCCGCTGAGCTCGCAATATACCAGTCTGCTCTTACACTCACCCCTGTTAATCCCTTTTTTTGTCTTTGTAACTTTATTATTAAGCATAGTTTTCTTTGCACTTACGCCATATGCAGTTCAACAGCCAAATCGCAAAATGTTTCTGCATAGGAGCATTTGTTTAGAATTAGCGGTGCAGTGTTAAGTGTTGGCATACATTTTTCTAGTTTTTTCAGTCTTTTCTCAGTTCATCATATCAATGCTCATTATTCTTAGCAAGATCGGTAAGAAAAAACTTTATTTTTTTTTTCTTTTTATTTGTTAACTTTGTTCGCTGAATATCGCATTCTTTGCACTTATGCCACATAAAATTCAATTAGCATTTAAATCAGAAAATATTTAAAAACAGTGTATTCTTAACAGTGTTTCTGGTTGCCATACATATTTTTATATTCGCTATGGTATTTCTTTGAAACTAGCCGCTTGCTGCCGTCCACCTAAAATAGTTATTATACAAAAGAAAAGAATGTAATGATTTTAATGAGTGTAGATAGTGTAATTTCGTAAAAATGCTGAATATTTCTAATTAGACGTCTCATAATTTTAATACATGTTTATTTAAATCAATCACATTTAAAAGTGGAAAAAATGTTTTTAAGTACTGCGTTTATTTCTATTAAATCTCACAGTTTATGACAAAAATATTTCCAGATCAAAAATGGAAGTTTCTTAGGCTTTACGGAATGGAAACATGCTGATGCATGGAGGATTAAAGTATTTTATTTCCGGCCGTGGCAACACACTGCTTTCATACAGCCGAGTTTGTTAATTAGAACTGAGAGATAATATCTTAGATTTTTCCGAATGGCAATAGTGTCACGCGCTGAGGGTAATGTTTTATTTCGAACAGGTTTCGCCACTGTTAGCTTTCTATTCTTTGAGTTTATTAATCAATTCATTCAAGTCTCACAAAATATGAAATAAATAAATTCAGGCTTCCCAGGTACACATGTTCGCATGGAGGACTACGTTATTCAAAATTTGATGGCTCTAGGTGCCCTCGTTTTTACAGTGCGAAAAATATACCTACATATATGCAGATAATTTATTATTTGAGTTCTTTAAAAATAATACATGGCGATAATGTTTACTGGCAACGATTTGAAAGGTGACACCCGTTTATAGTGAACCGAACCAAACTTCCATTTGAACTAAAAAACAAGAAAACTGGAAATGTGTAGTATAATAAAGTAAACACTGTTTGGTCAATTATAATTATGAAGTTACTTAACAAAATCGCCATTTTCTAGGACCAATGACAAAAAATAAAATTTCCGATTTCATTTATTTACTATTGCATGTTATTGCTTCATCGGAATAGATAATTTTTTGTTCTTATTTTATATGAACGATTAAATTGACAGTTAATTTTGATTAAAATTAATGCACAGAGCTTAATTTCCGTCTCAGTTCTGTACAGGTCACTTCGTTATTCTTTACAGATAAAATTAAGCAAAAGATTGATTCTATTACCAATGCTTCCTTAAATTGCAATGACAAACTGATAACTCGTAGCGTATTCCTAATAGACGCAAATGAAAAATTAAAATGCTTCATAAATAGTTGTATAAAATAAGATTATTATTTTTTTTCTTTTTAATTTAAATCTGATTACTGTTTTACTTTGCTTGATACTTTTTCTTATAAAGCCTATTGACAGTATTTTCGAATTTTACTGTCAATCAGATATCAGGAATGTAATGAAATTAAAAGAATAGGAGAAAATATAAACCTCAAAAATATTTTTAAAGATCAATAGAAAATTTTAAATTCGACCATTGCAGGATTCAATGAAAGAATTCAGTTTAATAAAATCCTTAGAAGACAATTGCTCACATCGGTCATCAACGGAAGCTACTGATAATTAGTATATTATAAGGCTAGAATATACAATACAGAAGACATAACCAGAAGTGTGTATACATAAACCAGAAGCTCAAATTAATTAATATTAATAACACGTGTTTTCCTTGCATTAAGTTCCTATGAAAATATCACGCTTGGTGAATATTAGTGTGCGTAGGAAAAAAATGTGAACATTCCAGATTTGTTTACTTCCGAATCGTAGCATGTTTTAAGTTCAATACATTCGGGTTTCTTAAGATTCCTCAATAATTACAAAAAGATGTGGGAAAAAAGCGGTAGCGAAGCACGTAACATACAACTCCATTTAACCGTTCCTCAATATTTTCGTAAAAGAGGCACTTCAAAATGGTAACAACGTTACCGACACTGCACATTTTGGCAGAATAATCCATTATGCTAAGAGATGGTACTATTTCCTATTTATGGGTAGATAATGAACAGTAAACGTCTTGAAATCCATTTGCTATAATGAAGAAAAAATCCGGTTTACTGAAAAAAAAATGATTTTGTTCCAACCCTACGCAAAAGCTTCAGACTGTGGTGCGCTAGCAGGCAATAATCGGAAATCTTTTAATACTATAATAGTCTACATACGGCCTAGATTTAGTGAAATGAGAGATCTGGACGATTTCAGTATACAACTCACAATTGCGCGAACCGTCTTTAGATGAAGAAGCGAAGAGCGCCTGTTTAGCTCACAGTGCTATACAAGATGTCGCAAAATAATCTGTTTTACGTTCTGAATCGGTGACAAAATGCTGTGAAGAGTGTAATTCAATGTGATGGACTCAAATTTGGGAAAACAAAATATACGGACCCAAAGGCATCTAATTCTCGTTCAGTGAATAAGACTTAAAAACTTTTCAGGCAGTGTACATATTAGTGCTTGCCACATAATTCATTAACAGATTTTTTCCTCGCCTGACATTTCATTTTTAGTTGAATACGAATTTAAATATTGTTCTCTGATATTACTGTTATCATTAAATATTACTGTTATCATTAAATTGCATGCGATCCGAGGTTTCAAGAAAAGCTATCTGAAATATTAAATGCTCTCTGTCAGTTTTGTTGTACGTCAGACACGCTTTTGCGATCCTGGATATCATATATTTCTGCTGACAGAACAAGTTCAAACATTGTCTAAGAGGAGAGAGGAAACGAAAAACATTTGAAGTAAACTCAGGAGACATGCAGCCTTCCGAAAAATGTTAACTCTTCGTCTCCTTGTTGATCATTTCAGTGGCGGTATAGTTCATCATTAAGGGGGAAATGTAATACCATTTTTGGAATTCTTAGATTTGAGAAATAACGTGTCAAGATACAGAATACCCATCAAATTGCTCTCGAAGAAAATAAGGGAGAGGAGCAAACATTCTAAAAATTTATTTCTATTTTTGTGAAACGGCGCGAAAGATCTTCAGCTTTGATGAATTTCGTATCTGTTCAACGACAGCATAAACATTTTCTGTGCATTATTTGGGACATTATCAATAATAAAGTTTCTGTACAAATGAAACTTCCTTTCGACACTGAACATTAATCAGGTGGTAAAACAATTATACTGCAATGCTTTTAAGGATGAGATTATAAAATTCAGGATCATCTGGCTCTAACTACCGTAACAGCTGCAAATAGAATGGTTTTATCTGTAATCGTGGTCACAAAATGATCCAATTGTTTGGCTGTTGAATTGCAGTTTCTGGTGGCCAGCGTGATTTGCTGATTTTTGTGGGCGGACTACACGTATAACGTTTCCTCTATTATTTTTATAGAAATTCTAGGCTCGTTCAGGCTTCTTTCCTTGACACAAAGAGTATTCCTGAATTGGGGTTACCAATTCACAATGCTCTGGGGGAATTGGTATATCCGTATCTGCGTTCAAAATGCATGTTAAAACATGGATATTGCACAGTAACATCGATTAAAGACCTTGCATAATCTGCAATACCAAAAATGCTTTCTGCAGTAAATTTGCCATCTTAAAAACAGACCGCGTATCTGCTAATGTACCAAGGAAATTTACTCGCGCAAAATGAAAAAGTAATACACTTTTATTCATTACTTGTAGAAACCTACAGGTTTTTGGAAAGTAGATGTGGAAAGTTATTCGTGCCCTCACCTAGATTCGAATTACGATCCCTTGGATAGATAGGAAATTCTAGCTTCTAGGCTTCTTCGCTAGATGAAATTCTTCCCTTCGCTAGATGGATGTTTTAAGCAGTTCTATATTACAG